TGTAGTTCCAGCTACTTGGAAGGCTGAGGCAGAAGGATCGCTGGAGCCCAGCAGGTCGAGGCTGCGGTGGCCGGGAGCGGCCACTGCACTCCAGTCTGGGCGACAGAGTGAGACTCCAACTCAAAAAAAAAAAAAAAACAAAATAAAAAGCATCACTGACATCAAAATGAATTGTGACTGTTACCATGAATGTAACTATTCAGTCCTAGTTGATCGATCAAACCTATGCCCTCATGACAGTGGATTCAGAATCTCACTCTCATGCATACAATGCATTGACTAATTTGTAGGAAACAGAAAAAAACAATTATTAAAAATTGAAAAACCAATTAGGAAAAATTAGGGCCAATTCACTCCCTATAAGTCCCCATCTCAATCACGACAGCCCATCAACAATACACAAGGTGGGGTGCATTACTAGAAAGCTACCAAGACAACCTGACCAAAAATTAAAATTGAAAAAATAGAATTGGTTTCAGGCAAGGGCAAAGCAGACGTCTATTAAGAGGGAGTTTGTGAAATCAGAGCAGGAGTCAGGTGCTTTCTCTCTTTTCCTCTCAGTGGTTGCTGAACCAATGTGGTCGCAACAGCCATGGTGACTTGGAAGCTAGCCAAAAGGCCAGGTGACTCAACACTGAATTTCTTGTCCCTCTAGGCAATTTCTCTCAGCAGCATAAATTTGTACCAGAACAGAGAACAGTTACCCTCTTATCAATCAGGAAAAGATATATATTAAAAGGTTTTTTAAAAAAATATATTTGTTTAAGTGTTACCTAGCAAAGAAAACTGAAGGAAGCTGGCAAGAGAACAAAGTCTTATTCCCCCACTAAGAATCCCAAGTGCTCTATTTGTGACAGGAAATTCTGTGGGAAGGGTCAGGGATGTCTTCTAAGGCCCTTCAGGGTAAGAAATGAACACTTATCTTTATTTTCATTATATTCTCACTAAGTGTGAGCAGAAGCTATATTTTTCTTAAATAAAAAAACCTCAAATAATAGGGTCTTCTGAAAGCAAAAAGTCAGTTGTTTGTCATTAATACCCAGGTTCCTTGTGGACAAAAACCAGGTATTACTTGGATTTTTACAGTGTCATCAACCACTAAACCAGAAGATCAAACAAAATTGTTTATGAATTTGTTAACTGGCTAACTGGCTCAACGTCAAAGAAGGAGTGTAGCCTACATGGGTAATATAGAGTTATTTTCACCACGGAGTAGTAAAATCCTAAGCAGAGCACTTTAATTTTTCGTCCTTGGAACTCACCAGCACTCACATGAGCTCTGCTGTTGCCTACAATACCCTTTTCAATGCTGGAGGGGAAAAAGCTGAAGAGAGGAGTAAGACACGGCAGTAAGGTAGGCGATCTTAAACCCAGACGTGGGGAGAAGCACGTGTTCAGGCAGACGTAGGGCACCCCATCAAGAGACACAGACATCTGGCAGTAAGACAAGTTTAAGGGAATGTGCTGAACTGAATTGCATTTGCTTGTGCTGCCAGGAGACTCTCGTCACCCCGAGATCCTTGGCCTGGGTGCAAAGCAAATGTGTACATGGCCAGCAAAATGCCACACTCTTGGCAAATATTTTTGTATGGATGGATAGTTGGTTGGACGGATAGTTGGATGGATGGATGGACGGCCGGACAGACAAATAAACAAATAAACAAATGAACAAACAAAGGAATAAACAGTGTACTTTTTTCTCTATGCACTTTAAAGCCATCCATTATACTTGCAAAGAATATTCAGCAAAGCTACTCAAGGCCGATTTCTCCACACTGCTCACAAATGTCTCATTTGCTGGAGACATCAACAGAATACCACATACAATCTGGGTAGTGGTCATCTTCCCAGGCTGTACCACACCAAGGCAATGAGAGTAATTAACAGTAACTAGAACTCATTGATTTAAAAATAAATTACCACAATTGGGTATCTGCAGGCTTGCCAAGGGAATGTTCTTGCTGCTTTCATTCAGGCAGTACAAGTTCTGAGTGTCTGGACTGGATTTAGTCTCTTGAAGAGTCTTGAGCCACATAATGTCACAGGAGCATGTGAATGGATTGCCCACCAGGATCCTACATGGAACAAAGACAGAAACAGATCAGGCTCCTTTTTTAATTTTAGCTGCACTTGTGTTTATAAACCGCACCACTGTGAATTCTTCCTAGCGAGCAACATTTCGAAGTCATGTCACTTTCATAGCATGACAGCACTTGTTATTCGTTAATTTATCTGATACTTACTGAGTTTCTGTTGTGTGCAAACACCACGGGAGAGGCTAGAGAATGCAAAGTGATGCAAGACCTCACAGAATAACAGTGGAAACAAGATAGGAACAGAAATCATCAAAGCGTAGGCTAGAAAAGAATGTCTCATAACATGTGGAAAATAGATACCATAACAAATTTATCATGGTTATTGTACAGTTGTTAAGAAGATCTTTAATGAAGATGCCAACAATAAGTTTTCTAGAATGCTAAACTTACTTGTTTCTGACCAGGCTAGAGACTCAAGTGATATCATTTAATAAATTTAAACTGCAGTGGGAAACAGAAAATTTTCATCTCAATTTAAAAGGAGACTTTAAATACAAAGCTAAGGCTAAAGTGTAAATGTTAGGAGGTTAGTTTTCTGCGTTATATAAAACCACAGTCTGTTTCATTGATGCAAGAGGGAATTAACAAGAGAGAGAGAACCCAAAGGGTATAGATTGCCTTCATGCACACACACACACACACACACACACACACACACACACAGCAAGCTTGGGAGTTCTGAGAGCAAGACGTCTGAGCCCCAAATTGAGTTGTTTAGCCCACTGTGGGAAGGTCTGCAAAAAGAAAGCTACCATGGTTCAGACCTTAGCCATGCTGCCTCTCTTGTGGCCTGCAATGGGTAAAAGAGGAAGTAGTTAAGAGGAAAATAAAAACCACAAGGAAAAAAAAATCTTTAGATGCTTATTTATAATACTCAGTGGCCTATTTAAGATGAATTCCATTTATGGTAATGAGCCTTTAAATGAGGCCATTTAAAATCGTTACATAGATTCTGCCTGGCATTCACCACAATACTTAAGAGCTCCATGAGGACAGGACCTGGGTTTTGCAACATCATTTATTCCTGTGGTTTTCTGGTTGGGTTCTAAGACTCTCAGGGATCCCTGGAGACTTTTCCGGGAGTTTCTTTGGTGAAAATGTGGTCACGGTCAACTCATCTAATTTCTATCTGTTTTGATCACCAAGTATCCCTCAACACCAAAATAGGGTTTGATACTATAAGATATGGAATATAATGCAGAAGAGACCTACAACCAGTTAAAAACCCATTAATTCAAGATGTTTTCTGGAGTTCTGAGCACATGAAAACTAGTCTTTCCAAAAATAAGGTACAATTAAATCAGCAGGAGATGAAGAAGTGAAGTGATGTTTCAGTTAAGAATACGTGAATACGTATGATCACACAGCACTGGTAGACAACTGGCTTCTTCCCCCCAGCTGACTGTGCAAATTGTTTTTACAATGATTATGATAGCCTATTGCACTTATTTGTTTAGTTATCTATCTCTCCCACTGGGTAACAGAATCCTGGAACACAGAAACTTTCCCCCTTATAGCCCCATGGCCTAATGTCATGTCAGTTTGATTTGTAACAGGTACACAGCTAACTTTTGTTGAATGAATTGATTAATTATACTTCAGAAGTATATTGAGACAAAAATTTGAAACTAAAGCTCTAATTTTTAATCTATCAAGAAAATTTAATGCAGCAATGTCCAAAATTTTTACATCAATTACCTTACCCGGTTTCATATATCTTCTTTTACTTTGTCATTCCTGTTAGAAACATGAATACTTCAACTGCCTAAAATCAGTTTATTCCAAATAATTGACATACACCAAAAATTTCACCACGTAACCCCCATTGCCATCTATTAACTTGTTGTCTCTCCACTAGCGACCTCTTCCAATCTACACAAATTCCTTGTGGACAAGGAAGGACCTTCACAAAAAGACTCAAAACTTCAGGCAACATACAGTTTAAGCAAAAGTGATTAACTAATACCCAAAGGTCTTGTCCTGGGCCCATCTGTCCCACAAGGCCTCTGTGCTAGGGTTCTTTTGGGTACCTTGCCCAGAAATGGCAAAGGTTCATATTTGCTTCATGATGATAACACAAAGAATTGAGTCTGTCGGTTATAAGCGCATTGCAATATTTTTCCCTAACATCTCACAGCAGAAAGAATTGGGACATAAGGATAAATATTAAATACAATAGCAGACCAAGAAGAAAATCTCACAAAGATGTGTGAGTAGGGAGAAGGACAACTTCTCTCTCCTCCAATGTTTCCTGTAGCCAAGATGGACAAAAGTGAGGGGTGTTTTGCCATCGCCTATTTCCCCTTGAATGGATATACTTGACTTAAGGGCCTGACTCTAGTAGGAACCAAACAGATGCTATGAAATATGTAGTCTTTTTAGCACAAAGCCCTCTTTCTGCCTCTGTTAAAAACAAACTTTTTATGTAAAAATAACATTCACACTAATCACAAATAATATGTTACTATTAAGATTTCTGTTTTTAACTACTGAATCATATCTTCATGTAAGAATAAAAAATCAAGAGGTCAAAATTTGAGAAATCATTTTTCAAGAATTTTGGTATAAAAATAGATCTGCAACATCACTTTTTTTTTTTAAGCTACTTAATTACCCTTTCCTTTGAGCGTTTTCCCCCAAATGCCACACAAAACCATTACTTACAGTTCAGACAAGTCGAGGTGACGGAAATGTTTTCTAGACAAACTCGTCAGTTTATTGCGGGTAAAATTGCTGAAAGGAATCAAAAACATTATCTGTGAACTTACAATGTTACCCATTTTAGAAACAAAGTATTCAAACAGAGATTTTATGTTCAAAATATAATTTCATTTGAACTTGATACATGCTTTACTTAGATCCAACTATTTCTTTCACCCGGAGTGATAGCTTAGTTTTTCTTCTAGACTTGCCTACAGTTCTTGCTTTTGAGGGAAATAAGGTATATTTTTCATATCATCTATGTGTAGTCTCTTCTTTTTTATCCAAAAGCTTATTTTTTACATGCTGTTCACAACCAAGTCATACACCTTGTAGAGATACTATCCTTTTGAACAATGAATAAGAGGATATGTAAAAAAAAAAAAAAAAAAAAACTTACAACTATATATGCTCCATAGGCAAAACGATGCTTTAAAACTAAACAGCATCATGAATATTTTTAAATTATACAGCACACAAAATTCTGAATATCAACTGAATGTAATATGTCTTTATAGAAAAGAACACACTTGATGGAAAAACTCTGCTGAGATTGTTTATATATGACCTAGTTAGCTGGATAACCCATGAAGAGAACAGCAACAACAACAAATCAAATAACAAGGAATTATCTTGAACTATTCCAGAAACATACGACTGACATGTTCTAAATATGCAGTTTTATTTCACAAATGGGAGTTCCCAATAATGAGTACCATGAGATTGGGGGGCAGAAAATTCACAGCTACATTCCCGGCAGCTGGCTTGTTCTGTGAATTTGTTTCTGTTTGAATTTATTTAAAGAATGTCCAATGCTTGGGCCTCAAGATGTGTGTTTAATAAGTAAAATGAACACAAAACACACGTCAACTGTCAGAAAAACAGCCAAGACCTCGACAAACCAAAGGGAACCAATGACCCTTTCAGTGTGTGTTTCCTGCCTAAGATAGGAAGTTTTCTGGGCTGAGAGTCAAATAAAACATGAGATCTGAGGATGACGGAGATCCTGACTTCTTACCTGAGGCCAGTCTGTGGTGTCTGCTCAATGAAATCAACCTTGAAGTATCCTGGTGTGTCTGATCAGTCATTTTTAGAGGGGAGTCAAAACCCAAATGCTAACGCAAAAGCTAATGCTAGTCAGTTGATGAACAGAGAAGTAACACTTGGGCATCTCATCATTCAAGAACGTGTGTGTCCACTACCAGCTTCATTCTCCAGTGAGATTTCCACTCACAAGGGTACCCTCCTTCCTTCTACACTTGCATCTTCTCTCTTCACACTGAGTGCGAAGTGCTCCCCCACAAGAAAAGATAATCCACCGGAATGTTGTCAAATGTGCCCCCATAAATCCCTTCTTTTGGCATGTGAAAGAATAGGTTTCAATGACACATCATGCATTGAAAAGCCGAACGGCCTATCTTTTCCACAGTCCCTGGGGCACAGATATTTTCATTGTCATCAGAAACCTCCATCTTTCTACAAATGAACAACAACAACAAAATCCTGCTCTTGCTCTGCCACAAAAAAAAGCAGAGAAAGAAAGTAAAGAAAGCGGAAACCTCCTGTCAAGGTTCTCCATGTGTGCTGGTAAACTGCCGCCCTGGGAGCCGCTGCCTCTGTGGGAATGCCAGCAGCACAGTCCAGAGCGGGGTTACGGGCCAAAGAACAAGATGAGTCTTATGAACCATACTTATGATCAGGGCCAAAAGCCAAAAAGGAGGAAGAGGGGAGGAGAAAGAATCAACAGTCCTCTAACTGTTTGATTATAGAGCTTTGCAAAGGAGCTAATTAGTACCTCTGCAAAGCCCCTGGAAAACACAAATACCAGCTTTTCTCACAGTTCCTGGATTCTTAGGAGCTGGGCAGGAATAAAAGGCACCAAGAAATAAACTCAGTGACCAGTCTCTGGGACTCTGGGCAGTTACCATGCGAGGCTAATATGGACAGGGTAGGTGGAGGGATGGTGAAAGGGAGAGAGTGGATCTGATTTAAATTTCCCTAAAAGCCTAAGTGAAACAGACTGATCTTGTACACATTTTTATATTGTTGGGGAAACTCAGAGAGATAATCAGTATATCCCAGGGGGCAGAGAAACAGCTTTTAGTCTACGTATCTTTATCAGCTCCTTTGCTCCCCCACCGTGTTGCTATTTGAGGGAAGAGTGTAATTTGCATGTGGAAAATAAGGGAAGAACAAGGCAAACCTGCCCCCAGAGTCCTCAGTCACAAGCAGAGGTTAGTTAGGTCTAAGATCTGGAAAGGCTGACACCTGACTTAATTCCTTCCTCCTTCCCTGTCAAAACCAAACTAATTGTCAAAATGTTCAAAACCACACTACTTAATTTAACTTTATGTTTTGGCAATCAAGAGTTTCTTTTAGCCAGGCACGGTGGCTCAAGCCTGTAATTCCAGCACTTTGGGAGGCGGAGGCGAGAGGATTGCCTGAGCTTAGGAGTTCGAGACCAGCCTGAGCAGCATGGTGAGACCTTGTCTCTACAATAAATCAAAAAAATTAGCCAGGCATGGTGGCATGTGCCTGTGGTTCCAGCTACTCAGAAGGATGAGGCGGAAGGATCGCCTGAGCCCAGCAGGTCGTGGCTGCGGTGGCCATGAGTGTGTCACTGCACTCCAGCCTGGGCAACAGAGTGAGACTCTGACTCAAAAAAAAAAAAAAAAAAGAGTTTCTTTTGTCACATAAATTATGAAGCTCGCTGACAGCTGACGACTTTATAACTGACTGACATTTGCCTAATTTTGCTCTGTCTTACTATTCGACAATGGCTATAAATATCAAGAGTATTGCAATGTGATCAATGACTGGTGTCCCAACAATTGCCCCTTAAGAAAACTATATGAGACATGTATGTCTCTTTAGTTTCTTATTTTCAACAAAACCTAGAAATGACAGGAACAGATATTTGGCTTTATATAAGCTTTGTACCACAAAATGAATGACACTAAAATTATCCTAACATATATCACCATGAAAAAATATACAAAGTGGCTTTCATGTTCATATAAATAGCATGTAACAAGGGAAATATACAAAGTATAGAAAAGTGATAAATAAGCCTATTAATAAAACTATAATTAACCATAGTCACTGTCCAAATCACAACATTAGAAGAAGTGATGTGATAAAAAATAAAAAGTCAGTGAAATGTGGTATTGAGTAATTTGGGTTCAAGGTCAACTGCAATGAAAATACCCGAGCTTATCCATTGAGGTCATTAATTATATTTAAGTGACTGCATTAGAGCATTTTGCCTTTATTTTCTATCCAACTTCTCTCTTGTTTATGCTATCAAGGCCTACGCAGCCATCAGATTTGTGCGGGCAAACTGACTGCAGAGATGATGCCAAAAAGCATTTAAATGAAACGTGTTAATAAAGTTCCTTGGAGTTCTATCACATTTCTTACAGAATGTTTTTGTATCTTAATTTACAGACTTTATTTTTAAGTGTTTTTATCATTAATGCCACCTATAAAATATGAAACCAATGATACTGACTTTATAAAATCAACATTTTCCATAATATCAATAAATCTCTCTAGAATGCCCAGGCACTCTGCTCTAAGAGAATCATTTATTTTACAACTGGCCTGGAAATCAGTTGGCAAAGTGTTCTCCCCAAGAAAAGAAAGGGAACAAACATTACAAGAAAAGTCTGATGCTCTAATTAGATCGATGGTATAAATTTTGTTTCCTACTCTCTTTGTAAGAGGGGTTAGCCTGGAGTTATAATTCTATCACTTAATAACCTATGAAACTGAGCAAGTCCTAGAACTTTCTCATTCTTATTTTAGCTAGAAACGGGAATGACAAAGATCTTGCCAACCAATTGTTAGAAAGAGATCAAGTGAGATAATGCAAGTGAGATGCTGAGACATCGTAAGGAATCATTGCAAAGAAATTACGAGACAACAAGAAAGGGCCAATGGCAGGCAGGAGCTCCCACTTGGGGAGGTGAGGCACCAATCTGATCTTAAGGATGCATAAACATTCTCCACTCGGTGATCTTCAGTTTAATGAAGAAACTTCTCAGGAAGGCCACACCTTATTGACTTAAATGTCATCATCTAAAGGACTTAGCAACAAACAACCTAAAAGTTCCCCCATTTTCCATATTTCCATTTGACTTCAGTTGACATCAGCACAACTTTGGGGAAAACAATTCCTGGTACTGAGAACCATCCAAACCTTTGGCACGTCCCATGATAGACTTTCCTCCATTTTTGTCAATCTATAACAGACAACTTAGAGAAAATGAAGGTTCAAAGAGGACCCTACTATGGGGGGGAAGGCCTTAGTAATTTTTAGTTCCCTAAAAAGGCCAAGGTCAAGTCAGCTTCTTTCAATTCCACTAGTTTGATGTCTTCCAGAGAGCATGTCATGATTCCAAGGAAAAGAATCAAGGACTCTGTAGAAGGACATAGTTTTCACATCAGACTCCTTGCTGTTGGCCTATTGCTCTGTCCAAGATGGAACTGGCCCAGAAACTCATGAAAGGAAATAAACAGCCTGTTCTAAGTACCCTTCTAAAGCTATTCAGAAATCAAACAAAATCAAAGCTAATGTTTCTAAGCTATTATCGCAGCTATACTAACTTTAAAAAAAGAGGTTTAGGGTTGGAAAAGGAGAAAAATAAACAGAGGAAAAAGATTGAATAAATTGGGTCCTGGGAAGCAAAAGAATCAACCTCTACTTACATGTGCTGCAGGTTGCTGTTTTTCAGAAATGCTTTGTGAGCCACAAATTTTAATCCAGAATCCACAATCGTCCTGCAAAAATACATAATTGGATGCCTATTAGAACTCACCGGTGAATGCCCACCTGGCCAGAGTAGAGAACAAGAAAAATCTCTGAGATAATGAACGCAGGCCTCGAGGACTCACAGGTTTTTCAGTCCCACGTATGCTGCAACATCATCTTCATTGATGATTTCTAACCTTTTCTGATTTGCGATGAAACTGCAACAAAGCAGAGAGTGACTCAGAATGCAACACGGCCATGAAGAATGGATAACTTCATTCAGCCTCACCACGGTGCCAAAGGGGGTCCCTCTATACCCACCCTAGCCTCATCGTGTGCAAGGGGGCAAAACTGAGCATGACTGAGAAGCAGTCATGACTGAACAGGTTCCACGGGTGCATCAAGTCTCCATCTTTCCCTCATCTATTATCACTCTTTCACCTAATGTCACGTTTCCTTCCCTTTCAGAGTTTTGCCAGTGCACAGAGATGTACATACCTTGGAAATGTATCTACTGCCCCTGAAAGGTGTTTCCCCCAACGGCGACAGCCGCAGACATGCTGGTGACCCCTGTGGCATCGTCACCACACAAGAAAAGTCACATCTTTCCTTGCAGACACATCCTCCTTTACCTTCTGAAGAAGAAGCAGACACTCCCTCCTTTACCTCCTAAAACACTGAAGTGCACTTCCCCTCTCCACTTTCTCCCTCCTTCCCTCCCTTCCTCCCATCTCTCTCCTTGCCAGTCCAGCATCCTCTCCTTCAGTAACAATGCCAATTCTTCCTTCAAGGAACTATATTTCACAAAGCCCACATGACCCTTGGGCTTTCTCTGTAGGAATCCACCTTTCCCCTTCTACCCCCTAAGCCTGCAAATACAGGCATGAACTCATCGCTTTGGCCACAACGGTGGGTTTAGAGTTGTGCTTGTGACCTTCACTAGACCAAGGAGAATTTTCCCTAAGATTAAACATATGAATGCTGTGAGAGAGAATCTGTGTTTCTCTTAGATCATAGCTGAAGGATGACATAGGCCTGGGGCTTCCACAGGGAAATTTTCTGCCATAAGGAAAGAGACTGTCCAAGAATAAATTCAGCACACAGAAAGAAAGAGGGCTAAAAAGAAATAAAGAAACAGAACCTGAAATATACTACTTGAGTTTCTGGATCCAGCCATCCTGAGGTTAGATGTCACTAATTAAAGTTTGATCTGGATTTCTGTCACTTGCAATCAATAAAGACCTTAGTAATGCAAACATACAGCTATTAAAACCTCATGAGGTTTCCTGGGCTCTACCTTGTACTACAGTTAAGTACCTATCTACTCACTTTTCTTAGATCCCAGCCTCTTCGAAGATAGTTAGATCCGTTTTATAACACTTAGTATTACAGGACCTAGCTCAGTCTCTTGTACAAGCAGTTACTCAAAGCATGGATAGATGGATGGATAAATGGATAGATGGATGGATGGATGGATGGATGGATGGATGGATGGATGGATGGGTAGATGGGTGGATGGAGGGAAGACCCACACTCAGAGTTACAAAGGCATTCCATGAAGTTACGCCAGGATAAATTTTCCCCTTTGTTTTTGAAAAAAGATTAAGATATATAGCATAATCCAAATAAACAAATATGTGGTCCTATTTTTAGCAATGTGAGTTAAGATGAAAAAAGTACTAAATAATAGGAAGAATGAATAGCATCTGTAGGTCCTGTCTATGCAGTGGAAGAAAGAAAATGAAAACAAGAGTTTGGGCTCTTCTTTTCAGAAAACAAATTTTAAAAATAAAAATGAGTAAATTATTTGGAGGCACAAAATTACATCAAAGAGAAAAAATTTTTTAAAGGACCTGCACAAACATTGTCTCCTGTTACATAAAAAAGCAGCCTCAAAGATAGAAGGACATCCTCCTTTCAAAAATCTTGGTTGTCCCTGATACCCAGGGCCTGGCACTTAATAGATGTGCAGGAAGGTTCATTCCCTTCTCTCCCGCCACGACACACAGAAGCAGGACATTTTAAGACTTTAACCGAACGCTCAATTTTCAACATCAAGTTTTCGTGAGATGCTTCAAAATTATCATACTTTAGATACATTTTTCCAAGATTCTCATTCCACTAACATTTTGTGTAGAGATCACATTGACCTCACTCTTCTAAATGATCTCACAATAAGAAATGCATTCCAGAGAGCCCTAAATTTTCATGCTTTTTTCATGAAACTGAGCAGAAAGGGTAGATCATGGGGGCAATTTTTTTTTTTTTTTTTTGAGTTACAATTGGGACTTCCAGATAAGCCTGTCCACTGCTTTTTGCTGAGTTAGCAAGGTGACTGTCACTGTTCTGAAGTTACCAGAGAGTTCTTCATCTCTTTACCTGGATCTTCCTTGTATCTTCCTTGCTTCCAACAAGTGCCAGGCACTCGATGGGCACTTAATTAACATCTGTGGCACAGAGCATTTTTTTTACTTTTCTTTTTGTTATTTATGTCCTTTATTATATTGTTTTTCACTTTTCATCAGATATTTAATTTGCAAACTCTCCAGCTTTATTTCACAAAATATAATAAGCTAGCAAATAAAAATGGAAGGCGTAGAGGAAAGAAGAACAATGGTAGAGACATCTGTGGAGATGAGAATTAGGTTTAAAAATGTATGTCAGCAAAGGGCCACAGGCTTAATTCTAAGCTCTTTTGTCACTGATACCTGAGAAAAGAAGGGAATGGGGGTAAATTTAATCAGGGATAAATTCACAGTACCCGTGGGATGAAAATAAGCCAATTATGCAAAGGACCACTGTTCTTGGATCTAAGACAAGACAGGAGACTTTGCTGAAAAAATCATCAAAAGCACCATGTGAAATTATGAAAAATGGTCACTAGAGAATACCCCTCCACTGTGGAGTCAGGAATGCCCGGGATAAACAAATAGATTATTTTCTTTGTCAAAATGGAAACACCAACTGAAGAACTGAAAGGTGGGCAAGGGCTCCTCTAGTCATAGATCCCAAGAAATCCCCGTTGTAAGCTACCATCTATAGCTTTTATCATTAATGCCACCTATAAAATATGAAGCCATAATGCTGACTTTATGAAATTAATCTGTAGAGACATCTGCAGTATAGACGCTAGCTACAAATCGCTCAAGGAGTCTATCCCCTGAGAAACTCTCCTTAGCTACCACTAAGTGAAGAATCGCAGAATGATTGCCTGAAGAGCATGCAATTCACAGAGGGGAACCTCAATGGCAAAGAAACATGTGAAAAGTTGCTAACTTGCAAGGAATCTAAAACGCAAATTAAAACAATGACACACCTTTCCTTTCCCACTAAATTGACAAAATGTTTAAAGCCATACAATATAATGCACTTTTAAGGATGTAGAGGAATTTCTCTTACATTGTTGGAGAGAGTGTCAATTGGGATAATCACTTTGAAGAACACTTTGCCAGTATCCTAAAAAATTATAACTCAGCACCCTTTGTGACCCAGCGATTCCACTTCTAGGTATTCACCCAAGAGAAATTCTCACACATGGAGAAAAGGAGACATAGAAAAACATAGTCATTGTAATATAGTCAGTGGAATATTACAATATGCGTTGCAATAGAGTCCAAAGCTAGAAACCATCTATTAAAAAACAAAAAATAATTTTTAAATAGAATGTATTAATCATAAATTAGATTGAATCAGATTTATATATTTGGGCAAAAAAGTGACCTCCATGCTAGTAAGAAAGAAAAACATCAAAATTATATACTGATATATACGTGTAGTATAAAACAATTAGTGTGAACTCAAAAATACACAGAAAACAATACCACATAATGTCCACAGTCAAGCATATACGCAAAAGATAATCACAACAAAAGTTGCCTTGGGAAAAGGGAATGGGTCTGGCATTTAAAAAAAAGGACTGAGCCGGGCTCGGTGGCTCAGCCTGTAATCCCATGCCTTTGGGAGGCTGAGGTGAGTGGATTGCCTGAACTGCGGGTTCGAGACCCGCCTGGGCAGCGAGACCTCATCTCTACAATAAATCAAAAAATCAGCTGGGCGTGGTAGCGCAAGCCTGTAATTCCCGCTACTCGGAAGGCCGAGGCGGAAGGATCGCCGGAGCCCAGCAGGCGAGGCTGCGGTGGCCGGGAGCGGCCACTGCACTCCAGTCTGGGCAACAGAGTGAGACTCCAATTCAAAAAAAAAAAAAAAAAAAAGGACTGTGTTAAACAATTTATTTTATTGAACTGCTAAACCAATTATCTTATTAAAAGAGAAAAGACTTGCAACAAAAAGATGAAAATGTGAAAGCATCAGTTCTGAATATAAGTACATGAAGTTATTATATCATTATACTTTTCTCTAATATTTAAAATTTGTGGAGAAAGAAGAAAGTAGAGAGAGAGAGAGAAGGGAGGGAGGGAAACAAAACAGAGACAAGAGACAGTCACACAAGTGAAATAACTGCAGGAAAACTAAAACCTAGGGATTCTCAGTGATTCACTGGACAAACACACCTGAACTCAAGTAACTGGTTCCTTGAACCGCCCAAAACAGCTATGCCTGGTTTCTTCTGGTTACCTGCCCGGTAACCTTTGGGCACATAGAAGACTAAGGTGCATGCTGCGCTGCCCCCTACTGGTGACTTCCACCTGCCTCCCGGAGAATCTTGGCAACACCAGGTTTTTCACCTCTGCCATCTCACTGCCACCGATGCCAAAGACAGCAGTCACAGAGACAAAGGCAGGATTGGGGAGGAGGGAGGAAGAGCCAGGTAAGGGCCACCGACAGGCCATGGAGCAGGCTCTCCCCCAACACAATTCCCCATCGCCCCTGCTGAAGGGCAGTGACACTCGGTGGGCTCGTTTCAATTCCTCAGGGAAGCAGTGGGAAGACCCAGCATTTTGGCAATCGCCTTTCTCTCCATGACAACCTCAAACTCCTCTGACCTGTGCCTACTGAGCTCTAGAAAGCTTAGGCTCCAGTGGCTTCCAGGCCCAGCCTCTTCTCCCCCAGAGTTATGTGACCTGGCATTTGTCTCATAGGAATCTCTCATGAGATCAGCAAAGCTTTGGTTCTCCATAGAAAATCAAGCTTCCCTTCTAGCCTGCAGATTTATGTGGCCTTCATTCTCTGTTAAACAAGTCAGTAGCCTTTTTTATTATTATTTTATTTTATTTTATTTTGAGTTGGAGTCTCACTCTGTCGCCCAGACTGGAGTGCA